ATTGTTAGTCCACATCGTTCATCTCTTATGATTCAACAAAAACAACGAAATCAAATAATTGAACAAACAGATTCTGATTGTGATCTTGATAGTTCATCATCATCATCAATAACAAATTCATCTAAATTAAAAAAACGACGAGCTAATTTACCAAAAGATAGTGTAAGATAAAAAGACAACAGTTGTTCGGTTATATGAAACCAATATTTATTCTATATTTATAGGTTCGTATACTTAAAAATTGGCTTTATGAACATCGTTATAATGCCTATCCAACAGATGAAGAAAAAGCTAATCTATCTCATCGTGCTGATTTATCGATAAATCAAGTTTGTAATTGGTTTATAAATGCTCGTCGACGTATATTACCTGATTTATTAAAAAAAGAAGGTACGGATCCGAAAAAATTTACTATATCAAGACGTTTTTCACGTGATCAAAAACGTTCATCACCATCATTATCCGCTATATGTTCGACAAGTGGAGAAAATACATCAAATGAAACATCATCAACAACATCAACGACAACAGAAATAAATCTTGTTGTTGAACGAAGTTCATCACCATCATTGATACTAACAAATAATTCTAGTGTTCTTAATAAACAATCTTCATTATCTATCGAACCTTGTTTTACAACGAGGCATCATGTTCTATTAAAACCAACACGTGATCCAACTGTTATTAATTTAATATCAAGTGAACAACAAACACGTCTTGCTTGTCCAAATGATTCATTAACAACAACTAGTAATACTACTGGTGATCTTGCCGGTTTTCAACTTCTTGTAGATGTAGCTGTTAAAGAATTACATCGAATACAACAAGATAGCAATAGTAGTTTACCACTACTTTGCAACTAATTTTCTTGTGTCTTCCTTTTTCCCCTATACCAGGAGAAAACATCAGCCATTTCTTTTTCTTTTTTTTTTGTGTAAACAGTATGTTTTTTTCTTTTCTCTTCTTTTAGAAGGGTCTTGTTTTTCTTTTTTTTTTATGTTCATGGTGCTCTAGTTCATTCATGAGATGAGGAATAAACGAAACATATATATATATTTATATATATGTCAAAAACTGTATAGATATACAATGACTTGTGTCAAATATTGGCTAATGTGATTTTATTTTGTCTGTTATATTGACAACGCCTTGTTGTCAATTCAATTAAGAATAATAGCTATACATTCTTCCGAAAGACTACACCATACAGAAAATGTATTGTTTTCTCTCTAAACAGAAGAATGAGTATATACAAAATGTTGTTTACATTGTCAGTCAATTAAAAGGGTAAAAGGGCCTCTCATTTTTTCCTTTTTGTTTAGTTGTTCTCGTTGTCTCTTATATTTTTAGTCAATAGATTAATTTTGATTGATGATTGTTGTTTTATATCTATTTCTATTTAAAATTCTTCTATGCAAAAAAAAAGTATTTTGTTGTTCAATCTTATTGATCAAAATATATCCATCATACAGATGCGCATGATAAGATGAATGTTCATATATGTGTTTAATCATGCGCTTTAGTAGTGTGAATGATGAGACACATACATAACGTTTGACTGGAATGCGCCGATGATTATCGTTCAAGTTCATCGTTATTCGCTCGATTACATTGCATACTCTCATCATTTGCCTCTATCGTTATTTGATGACAGCCGATCAATCGTGAATAGAAGAAACATCATGTCGTCATAGAGAATATGTGTATGTATACATATATATCGAAAGTCTAGTCTGATAGATACTTTGACGTCATTAAAGCTTTTCTTCTGATGTTTTTTTGATGATATAATAAACGTTTGATAACTAATATGGATATATAAATAAATGATCCTATAATCAATCATATTTTATGTTTTTCTTTTACTTTACCTGTAAATCATATTCTTTCAACAAAAATATTCACGTTTTATTTACTTAATAGTGTTTATTTTCCATTAAACATTATTCAGCATTATATTTTTTAAAAGTATTTTTCTTTTTTTTCAAGTTTAACAAAAAAAATACTAAACTTCAATATGAAAAGTCATCGATTTAAAATGAAAAAAGAAAGTTTTAATTGTTTACTTGACAAATAATACATTTTTCTTTACGAGAGAGATTGAAAATGACTAGTAGAAGCCAGACGTTTCATTATGTACTTAGAAGAACTATTTAGTTTTGATTGTATATACAATATTTACTGTGTACTAAAATTAAATTTCGACGTGAATCGATTTATTATTTAGTCTAAAACATCAAAATTCAAAGAATGATTTCTATGCCAAACAACTTGTTGTTTTTCTTTCCTTTGACATGATATCAATAAAAATATTATTAGTAATGAATAATGAATTCTATTTAAGTTGATAGTATAATTAATTTCGAATTATCTAACATATAATATATAGATCAACTATTTTTTATCTTCTGAGTACATGCAATAACTTATGGCTGTCAAAATTTCGATTGTTTCTAAATTTATGCTATCTTTAGTGCTTAATAATAATGTAATGAATCAAGATTGCTGTATCTTTTTATAAACAGATATGAATAATCAAAGATTTCAGATTTATCGTACTTGATATAACAGGATAAGACTTTTTTTTTAATTATTGGATTATATTCCATAAGTATCAGTTAAACTTAAACGAAAAATGTTTGTGTATAAGTTTAAAAATCATTCAATTATTTTATTTCGTAAAATGAAAAACTAAAGATCAGATTTACGGGTAGGACAGTTTCATATTACTTCCATTCTTTGGAACTGTATAATAGTTCTTTTGACAGGAACTGAACTGTCTGAAAACTAGTTTTTCGGAAATAAAAACAGATCAGTTCCTCTTAAAGAACTTTTGGTACAGTTCAGTTCTTTTAACTATTTCATCTAAACTTGGAACTGTCGTGCCCCTAGTCAGATTGCATTGAAGTTTTTCACATTACATGGAAATCATGATAAATAATTGTAATAAATTTTTACTTCTCTCATCATTTGATCTTGAATTTTTTTCTAAATATGAACTAGACTAAAGTTCTAGTAGTTTGTTGCAAACAATCATTTAGACAAAGTTCTTCTCATTTGATCATTTCTGATACTTTCTGTAAAAGATGTCTAAATCATAATGGTATTTCACAGTAGTATTTTTCAAGGTAGGTCTACGTCATGTAGAGTATATCTATTCGGTTTTACTGTAAAACGTCGAAAATAAAAATGTCGAATAGTAAAAGGTCGAAAAAACGGCGCTACCTACCACGTCTTTGTTTCGATTTTTTCGACGTTTTGCAGTGTAATTATCTATTCGCTGTTTAATACGGAGTAAAAAAATACTGTATTCGATTAGAAAGAGACTATCACAAAGAATCTTTGGATGATCAGATCTAATCAGCATTCTCTCAAAGCCTGTCATAAGGAATTTCTCATTCGTACTCCTGTCAAATTCTAACTACTAGATAAATCATCGAAGGACTTGAAAAATGACATTTTTACTATCAAGAGTGCAGTTTAGACTTAACACTTTAAAGCCTGTGATTCAACCTATGGACGAAATTTATTTAAAACTTAATATTTCGTATGAGCACTGGGTATTATCGACATTTTCAACTTTTAGCCGTACTTCCCTACGGAAATAGTGAGAAATATTTTAGCCACTTCCTCGGAGATGTCCGAATGAGAGCCAAAAACTGACTCAGTAACCTTGGTAGAGTTTGTACTCTTACATAAATATGTGCGTCAAAGTCTCTTTTATGTCGTAACGAAAGACACACTTTGTTATCGCTTTGCATTTGTGTGTGATTGGAAATTGATCAAATTTTAAAAAAGTGGAGCTTATAAGCTCCACTAGTACTTAATGAATTAAATTTAAAGGCTGTAGATTCGATAGCCACGATACTTTTCTTCTTCTATTGCACTGCTAATATGCAAACTCTGATTTCGGATATTACTTCGTAGCTTACTATTTGGATGGAATTAAATCCACTCTAAACTATTCCTGGCGTCGCCACTAAAATAATCGGAAAAAATAGAATATTATCTCTTTGTTTCCATTCTAAAGAGTGTTTCCAATGGAGATCTACAACAAAATATATATGTATACTTTGTTCATATGAGCAAGACGCACATGTACATTTTATCTTTATACAAAAAATGTATCAAAGTGTACTAAACAGACATAGAAGTGTTATTTTATCGAACACAAAAAAAAATGTTCATATGTTCCCAGTAGACATAGACACAATTTTTCATCTAATACCTCACGATATATACTTTGCTTACATATAATTTCTGAAACTGAAAATAACTTTCAATACATAGTGTATTTCGTACACTTTACTTATCGACTAAAGTGTATTACGAGAGCAGTAGGTGTTCTGTTTATTTTATTTCTACTTGATACACCTGCCATTAGAAATATTGATTCCGAACAGTCTCCTGTATATCTTATTTAGTAATGAAAAATTTGTACAACCAAGCGCCATTTTGTTCGCTTTCGTTGTACTAGTAACAACCTCTATGATTTGTCAAAGTGCATAGATAGGTTAAAAAAAATTATTCATTCATTTATAAATAAGCAAGTGATTCAATGATGAAAGGCGATAAGTTTTCTTTTCTTTTTGTCAATGTCGAAACATATGATAAACATTATTTTGAATATTTTCCTTGTATTACTATATATTTATCTGTTTCGTTTTTTGTATTATACATTAGATTTTGTTTTTTGTGTCTGACGAAATAAGAAAATACTATGATAAGAAAAAAGATTCTATATTAATTTATAAAATTTTCTATTAGGTAAAGAAAATAAGAGATAGATCTGGTTTGTTTTTTATTTAATAATTATATGATTTATTTTATAGTTCAATATATTCATTTGTTGATTCATTGTCGAGTAAAATAAAATTTATTTGATTTATTATTGAATATTGATTTATTATTTCTAGTTGTCAAATCTGTGTGTGCTTATTTGTTTCGTGTGCCATTTAGTTTTGCCACGATCCAAATGCACTTGCTGTTGAGTATCGACGATGTATGGTAGCAAACACAGAACAACTGATGGGTAAATTTTTTAATAAGAAAAATATATTTTTTCAAACAAACGTTTTCTTTCTTATAATTTAGTCTGTACGAAACCCGGAAAGACGGTAGCGGCTATTCGGTTAGTATTCAAATATCTACTTTTTTATATTATAAAACACTTCCGCTTTTTTTCCTAGTGTAACACTAATTCAGTAGAGGATTTTATATTTTAAAGGAAATATTGATAATCGTTCGAGATTAAAGATACTAAAACTAGAACTAAATATGAAACTTGTAAGTAACTAATATCTGAATATGCTTTTATCTATTATTAAAACATATTAGTCAATAAATCCTAAAATGGATATAATCTAAGATAAATAATTGTTTTCTGCTGGATTCATTTATCGATAAAACATAATGAAGCATCGAATAAAGATGCAATAGTTATTACTATTGTATAGTACGTCGAAACAGTTTACACTAGACACTGAAGAATATAGTAGTCTTCAAACTTTACAGTAGTTTTGCATGATCTTCTACCCACAACGAAAAACTTTCAGTCACTACTTAATGATATACAAGTATATAAATATCTACAATCTAACTATGAGCACAAGTTTAATGCAAATGTACTCCTAGGTATTAATCGACAAATCAGGAGATTTAAATCTCTGTAGGATTGTTTTTTTTCTCAGTTAGTCTTATTCACAGAGGTATAGAATTTATAAAAATTCCCTAAATGAGATATTCTATCGAAGTTGAACTTATACTTTTCTAAAAAAACTAATGTTATACGATACCAGTTTTATTTAATAATTATAGCAGCAATTGTATATACATTCAATAACGATTATATGTAGAATTAGAAAAAATACTTTGATAAGAAAAGTGGACAATAGTACTTATTTTATCATAAGTATATATACAGTGAGAAAGAAAAACAAATGAAAGTGATGTTATAAAGCGAACATGAATGGTTCATGAGAAGAATGAAGATGATGCGTATATAAATAAACTCCGAGAAAAAAATTCTCTCCAATAATTATTTATATATCTACTCAATTATATCCGAAAGATAATATCGAATAATTGAATTGATAGATCACTATATAAAATGTTGTGATATATTATAATTATTTCTAGTCAACAAAACGAGAGTGGAATTTACAAACACATGGATCTAACGACGAATCATCGAATCATCGAAAATATGTTCGAACACAAAGTAAATATTTTTTACTGAAAAAATTTATTTTTATTTTAAAAAATGAATTATTGATTTAGCTTCTTCAAATAATCGAATTGTACCATCGTCGTCGTCCTCACAGCAGCAACGTCAAAATGGTGACAAAGATAAGAAAACAGTTAAAGATGTATACACATTCATTTTATTTTTCAACTTATCTAATATAAATCTCGATTTCTTTTTAGTCAAAAAAGCCGCTTCGTGTATCTGGTGATTGGTCTGAATTTAAAAGTTCAACAGGTAGAAAAATATGTTTAATAAATCAAACATTGAATTCTTTTTTATTTTGAAGGCAAAACATATTTCTATAATTCTAAAACCGAAATTTCTCAATGGGAAAAACCAAAAGGATGGTCGACAGATGAGTAAGTTACTTTCAAAATATTCATTCGTTAATTGTCTTTATTTAGAACATCTTCTTCATCGACTCGATCAAGTTCTACATCTACTTCCAATGATCGAACGAAAAAAGGTTTATCTCATTTTTTTATTAGAAAAATAATTTTCGTTTTTTTTCTTAAATTTAGAATCGACAAATTCCAGTATCTCACCCACAATTCGTTCTCGACATAAGGTGGAAGAATCATCACAAAATTCCCGTTCAAATATTAAATATCATCAAAATGGTGATATACATTCTCAAACAATAAATAATCCTAATCATGAATCTAATGAAACATTAAATAAAACGTCTAATGTTCGTCTTCCTAGTCCAAGTAAAAATATTTAGGAAATAAATACAACTAGATAATTTTTCTTGTCTCTAGGTGATGATAATTCACAAATGTCATTTTCGTCGACTAATAGTAAAGAATCATCATCTGTAACCATTTCCGATCGAAATGGAAGTATTTTACATTCGTCATTATCTGAATCTAGTAATAATTAATTTTATTATAGTTCTAAATCTATTTAATTCGTTATATCTTTAGCTATTTCAGTTTCTACTCCAGTATCTGATATACCGACTAGACAATTTGAAAAAGATTCGACCTCTTCCAATGGTAAGCAAATATTTATTTTTCTATTTTCTACAAAAATTTCAATACTATAGAAACTGACATGAAAAATTCAACAACTCGATCAACTTCTCGTACTATATTAAAAACAGACCAAACGTAAGTAAATTTTATGAATATGTCTTGAAATCCGGAAAATTTCTGATATCATTATAATAGAAGAGAATGATAATATTTATGGTTGTCTACGTCAACCATAATTATCGTCTACCGAGTGCCATTCCACTTTACTGTGCTCTGCACTTCTATCAGCAAATATACATAGACATGCAGCTTGAGAGTGTGGGTTTTGTAACCACACTCACACCTCCTAGCGAAAATCAAAACACTTGCCAATAGAAATGTGACAGTTCCAATTGGAAAGAATTGAGCCTAAGCTTTCATAGTCCTAGTTGCCAAATATTTCGAGGGCGATGCGATGAACATCTCGTGGGACTTTCTTTATTGGTAGCTAGTAAAAAGTGAACCGCGTCACCTCCCTTCAAATCAAATGATTTTTCTTCTTTGGTAAATAAACTGTTGAATCGTTTTTTAAAAGTTTTCCGGATTTTGGGATAATACTAATTTAATTATTTCGAAATAAAAATGTAATTTTCATGTTTAGTTCTGTAACTGAATCCTCTATTCATACTGTATCAAAAGCTGAACGCGATCAAGAAATTCAAAAATATTATCGTAGTGATTTAATTAAACATTTAACTGATTGGCCATCATCTCAATTAGAAAAACAGGTATAGACGAAAAACAAAAAATTTAAAATACAATTCGTATTTTTTTCAATTTATTTTTAGTGTTTGAAACTTTTCGATGATTATTATCGTTATAGTGCTAAAATGTCGACAGCATTTATTGAGCTTAAAGCATTAAAATCGAACTTTCGCATACTTGAAATAAAACGAAGTATTTTAACACAAAGGTAAATATTTTTTTCGGTTAACTATTTAAATAAATTAATTTTTGTATATATAGACTTCTCCGGTGTCAACAACATATTAAAAAACGAGAAGATGATAAACTATTATAAATATTTGTTTTTTCTTTTTAAATGTTTTTTTTCTCTCTATCAGAAATGTGTATTCGCATGCACAATAAACGTTTAATTATTCATTCTTAACGCGAAATTTGTTCGATATTAATTGTTTTATTGTGTCAGATAATATAAATATGTCTTTAACATCAGTAGTTTTCTGGCCAATTTCAAGTTGCAACAGACTTCACTTTCGTTTTTCTTCTTCTTCTCTTTTTTTCTTTTTCTGTCTCGTTTTCTTGTTCTTTCTACAAAAAAACAATAAACCCTTATACTCTTGTGTATCAATGTTTTTCTTCTTTATATTGTGTAATCTTTGATTTTGTTGTTTATTCTTTTGAAAAAGTTACACATTATATATATTTATATATATTTAAAGGTAATACTTGTACTCAAAAAATTATTCTACTAGAAAATGATGGGGAGAAGAAAAAATTAAGCTTATTATTTTTTCTGAGATATATTTTTAAATTGAGATAAGATATTAGGTGACTTTTTTCTGTCTTAGAAAGTTTCGAATCTTATTAGACGATTAAAAATTATCAATAAATAGCATATGCCCTGGGTATAGTTATAGATATTTTTGTATTTGTATAAAAAATATCCTGATTATAATATGATTATAAATTTTAAATTTTTCTAGAAATAATAAAAGCTTATTGTAAAATATAAATTTATAGTCATGTCAATTTATATTAGCTTATGTATAAATAATCTAAACTTATAATGTCACACTGCCTTCTAGTGCGATAAGAATCTACTTAATGCTTTTTTGAATGGATTCAACAATGTGACATCTTATAATGTCATAGTTTCTATTCATAATTAAGTAAGTCTAACATATAATAGTATTTGTACTCATTATAGTCTCTCTATACAAACAAAAGAATACATTATATTTATTCAATAGACAAAAGGTGTTACACGTGATCGTTATTATAAAAGTAACGAAGCTATAAATAATTTATATTGAGTAGTTTTTCACATTAGACAATATATTAGTTTATAATTGAAAAAACAAAACATCAAATGTCTAACGAGATGTTTATATGGAAATGAAGTCATAGAAATTTGATAGTTCATTGATTAAAATAATACAATTTTTTTTGTTTAACTAATACATATATCTAAGTTGATTAAATAAGAGATAATATTTCATGATAAAATTATATGTAGATAAAAAAAACTATCGTTTATTTTCAATAAATTTTATAGTATTAGGATTGATTCCAAAGATATTTGTTTTATTGATAAGAGCAACCATCTTTTTTGTTTTTAGATAGCGTAGGTAGATTAATAATCATCATTTGACTTAATTTTACAGTCATTCAAATAAATCGGATGATATTTTTTTCAATAATATTATCCTGACCTGATTAAATTTAGATTTATAGTGAATAATACGAGAAACATAAATGACCTTTCGTTGACATCCAGTATTTTTTTATTTATGTACTATTTTATTTAAACGCTCCATATAAAAAGTGTGTTTATCAAGTACGGCAAGCATGTCTTTGTGGCAAAGTAATCGTCACGGTTCATTATTTTTCTTACCGAACGCGAGTGACTATCTATTGAATAAATCACTTGTCAATGTTTTTTTATTTATTGCTGTATTTATATAAAAAACGAACACCTTTAATACTCATCATTTTATCTATTTTAGATAATGTCAAATGATAATGATCGCCTTCGCGAATTTATCTCGTCGCCAATCGATCTAACGAAATTTCTAGAGTATGCAAAAAATATGAAGGAACGCATAATGTCATTTCAATCTTCATATCCTATTAATCAAAATAATCTTGATTCATTAATTAATTTATCTAAAACATTAAGTGATTATCGTCATCTTGAACAACAAGATGAAACAACAAGAATTGAAAATAATATTGAAGAAGATGAAAGTCAAGGAGGAGGAGGAGGAGTAGACGAAGAAGATACAACATCGTCTAGTACATGGCGTACAAGACGAAAAAAGAAAAAACTTGATCCATCAATAACAAATAGTTTAAAATCTTATCCAGCTTGTATTGAATATTTATATAAAGAATTTAGTCAATCACGTCCACATGCATCTCATGATACAGCTTTTCTAAAAAATATTCGTGAATGTAATCAAGCAATATCAAATATCGATAATGATAGACTTATTTTAAATTTACAAATATTTTTTCCTATTGAATCACGTGATCGTTATCGTCATCAATTAATGAATGAACTTATATGTTTATCCACATTAACATTAGCACAAATTCGTGATGCTATTGAATGTGTTAGTGATGAACAAATACTCGGTGAATATTCACAAAATCCTGATGATATAAATACAAATGGACAACGTGCTGGTGATGCAAATACGGCAGCTTGTTTTATAATTGAATCAATTGTATATGATGATTTACGACGAACAGATGTACGTTTAAGTGAACGAATTATTGAACAAACAAATACGAATTATACACAAGGTAATTCAATGGAATTAACAAGTTTAAATGATCTGAAAATGATTCAACTTGGAAAACCATATATTTATTTACATCAAACAAATTGTGAACATGTTATTGTATTTAGTGAATTGAAATTACTTGAACAAGATCAATGTCATGATTCAAAGTAAACTTATTTATTTATAAAATATTAGTTTGTAATTTTTTTTGTTTTTCTAGTCTTTATCCATTGTGTCGAATGAAATATCATGGAAGATTTTCATACTGTTTTCTTTGTAATGTTTTTTATGCGAAATGGCTTATACGAAATTCACCATTGATACCTGATGATCCATGTCTATTATGTGAACGATGTTTTAAAGCATGTCATTATGATAAAGATGGAAATAAAGTTGGCGATTTTTCTGCCTATCATTTTCCACAGTTGTAAACATTTTTTTTTTGTGTTTCTTATCTTTAATAAATACAAGGCAAAAGATCGTTTTTTATTGTTCTGTAATAAAAAAAACGACAGAAAAAAAGAATACGTCGGCTTTCAGTTGTTTTTTTCTTTTTCTTCTACAAAAGAAAGAAAAATGTGTAAGTTCACAGATGCATTAGTATAACAGAATAAATTCTATTAACATAACCAATGCAACCACTCCCTCTAGAGTCATGTGTTTTTATGACGTACAAGGCAGCATGCGATGATCTTCATTTCTTTTCTTTTTTCTTTTAGTTGTTTTTGTTTTCTATGGTCGATATAGACGAATGACGTAGATTACACATATGAAAGTCGTTTCTTCGTTCTATATGTTACTGCTATTACCATCGCTTCTAAAAGGCTGCCGTCGTGTGTTTTTTTGCTTTTCTTTCATTAAAAACAACGCTAACACATAAAAAAAACTGCCCTACTATCACACAATGACATTATTTTCTTGTTTTTTGGCTATATACTATCATCTATATTCAAAAAATAAAATCCTGTTTAGTTTAAAATATAGATTAGTAATCGATTTGCCCGAAAACAGACGGAGCAAAACAAACTTCATACGAAGGTCAGTAAAGTCTTTTTATTGACTGTCATTAGAGAAGAGGAGAGAGAGAGAGAAAGGGCATGACAGACTGTATTTTGTGCTTGAGTGATTTCACCTGAGCCAACTCTGCCTACATGCTACCGTACATATATATATATAGAATATCTGCATATCGGCCACCTCATTATCTATCTTATATAGTTAACGATCACTTATCATAGATTTACTTTTAATCAATTGATGAATATTTGTTGAAACGAACACTCAAGCAAGATACAAACAAAATCAATTACAATGTATAGACTGATGAATGAAGGTAAGTGATTTTAATTAAATATATAAGTAAATTAATTTATTGTTTTTTTTTGTTTTTTAAAGTAACAAATGAAAACAGTAATAGCAGATCATCATCTGATAATCAATCTATTAGTGGTGATGAATATTCAGTTGAAAAACATAATACAAATCGAATTCGATCTAGTATGAAATCTTCTACTGAAGGAACACTTGGCGGAAAATCAATACAACAAATTAATAATAATACATCAAATACAAAACAAAGTTCATCAACTTCACCCTATGATAGACGACCTTTTCCATTTGGACAATGGTAATTGATTAATTAATTAATAGTTTATAATAAATCTTATTGTCCTGTATATTTTAGTCGAGTTTGTACAGATAAAGCAACTGGTGCTCATTATGGTGTGCCAACATGTGAAGGATGTAAAGTAAGTTTATAACATTGTAAAAAATATACTATCATTGAATAATAAAACACTCTAAAAGGTACATTTTTTAATATACATTATGGAGTATATTGACGTGTGACGGTTAATGTGACCTCTACTGATAATAGAATATTTTCCAGTTAAACTTATTGATACTTCATAAATTATAAAAAAAAAGAAGAAGCTTTTGAATTTCAACAGATGTTCTATAGAATATTTTGAATTATGTTATTTTAATAGAAATCATATCTTATACTTACGTGAATTTATTATTATTATTATTGATATCATTAATTTGTTTTTTTTTTCTAGGGATTTTTTAAACGAAGTATACTACGCAAAGAAAAATATCGATGTTATTTTGGTGATGGATGTGTGATAAATACTGATAATCGTAATCGCTGTAAATCATGTCGTTTTCAAAAATGTCTAAAAGAAGGAATGTCAGTTGAAGGTATAAAAATTTTTTGATTTATTTTTGTCCATTAATATGTCAATATGACTTTAGGTGTACGAATGGGTCGTATTCCAAAATTAGTTAAAGAAAAAGCGTTAGCTGAACATCGTTTATCATCATCTAGTATTGAAAATGAAGATCCAAGTTCA